GGCAATGGCCGCCATGCGTGTCCCTTCGAAGGGGTACAAAAGAGGCGGCACATTTGTCTCAGAAAAAAAAAAAAAAAAAAAAAAATCACAACTGGAGGTCCAGTACTACCTTCACAGACAGGCAAAATACCAAGATGCTCTTGAAAGAGTAGGGGTTTCCCCATAGCATCCTTGACCAGCAGGTCTCCTTTCATCCCTGGTCACAGCATGCTGAATACCCACTGATTTCCAGCCCAAAAACCCATGTTTTCAATGATCCGCATCCTGGGATCCTTTGGGCATAGCTAATCAATCGGCAACTGATTTCACATACAGCAGTTTTGCTTTGTAGACAGAACAGGTATTGCAACTATGATGGACGTATCTAAGTGAGTATTCTTCGAGTGGCAGGTTATGAGTTTTAATGGCACTTAGAAGGCTCTGAGAAATTTTTTTTTTCAATGGCGCAAAGGACAATTAGAGCCCCGCATCCCTTTGGAAGTCAATGGCATTGATGCCTGCCTACGAACTAGTATACACAGGAGAATGCTACAGAGAATAAAAAGTTTGAACTGATGTCAATTTAAATTAAATGCTTGCGTTAGGCCCAAATACCAGAACACCAGCAAAAGGTTTAATGTGTAAATGTAAGCAGATATGCTGGGCTCGCAAGCAGGTGAAGAGCAGTCCCTGATTGAAGTGCAGCTACCAACTTACCTGGTGTCTTGGGACCAGGTCTCACTTGACAGAAATGTGTTTCCTTGGAAGTTGGGCAGTGTGATGAACAAAGTTGGCAGCCCCCATCCATTCCTTCAAAGACAGACAGTTTCCTAACCTTTCGCAGACTGACACTTCGTGAAGTTATTTGACTTATCGCCTTCAGAGAAAAATAACTCACTGGTCTGGGATCTGACACCAAGTTCCCAGCACGTCAGGCTGAATAGCACCGCATCAATCACGCCGGTGCCATGTTTGTGAAGCAGAGCAGCCTCTACCCCAAGGAGACTGCCATGTTTCACAGAGCAGCTATCAAAAGCGCTTGCCAATATCATGTGAAAATTGCCTTTAATTTCTGACTGACCTCTTTTTTTTTTTTTTGCCTTCATGTCCCTGACATTCAAAGTGGTTTCAATGTCCTCCATCACATTTTTTCTTGGAAGGCAAGCACTGACTGTGCAAGCGACTCCCTGGATGCCACTGCAGGCTCCCACGGCTCTTCTCTTGGTGCCACACGCACCGATCCAACCGGCTCAATTGACAAGTCAGAGGCGATGTGCTCTCTCATGGCTGTCCTGCAAGCCCACCCAGGGCTCGGGACAGTCGACGGGTGCGCTCTTTGCTGCTTGCACTAGCACAAGAACACAGTTGGCACCATTTGGGTGTAGGACCAGTATCTAACGTTTTGCTTGGGCTCCTTTTAGAGTTTCTTTAAGGATGGGGAATTGTCAGGCAACCAGGGGCTTTGGAGATGTTGCACTTCTGGCTCTACCACTGATGTCCTGTGTGACCTTAGGTATGTCATTTAGGTCCAGGTTCCCAGATCTTTAGGCCCCGACTCCCGTAGAAATCCGTTCCTTGCTGCGGTTGAGGAGCCGAGCATTAGTCATTCCAGGCCATTGCTACCATCTCGGGAGTAGGGGCAATAGCATACCCCTGCCTAGTCTTGAGAGGCTAAAACATACTCTAATACAAGCCTGAAGTGCTCAGCTGCTACCCCAGGCCAGACGGCTGGCTGAACAGACCAGCAGCGACACAAAGGTGATGCAGCACTGCCTTAATGGCAGTAAGGGCTTAGTCCCGTGATGAAGGAGGTATCCTCCTGCCCCCTTCTTCCCAAAAGAGTAAACCTTGATCTCTGCCTCCTGCCCTCCATGGTTCAGGACCAGGGGGAGGTTGCTTTTCCTGGCTGACAGGGACAGGAGGCTGCTTAGATGCCTTGGGCTCAGGGGAGGGGGAACTTTTGCCTCCCCTACATCTTGTGCTGAGAAAGGTGCAGCCAAACCCAGGCGTCCGGCTTTCTGTGTGTGCCGTCCAGGGAATGAATGAGACGTCGATACGAGCCGGTGTAGGGATTGCTGTTAGCACCACGGGCAGCCCCGGACATCACGTGGCTACGGAGGCAAGGAAGGCAAAGCCTCACGTTGGGGGTGGGATGTTAACCTGGAGCCAGTGGTGGCTTATGTCTTCTGGTGGAGCTGGGCTGCAGGAGGGCATGAACCTGCGAGAGACCCAGAGCTTTTTTTCCGGCAGCTATGCCGCATAATAAAAGCAATGGGAATCAGGTCCCCCAGAAGGAGCCCAGTATAAATACCACTGTCGTGCAACCAGTGCTAAAGATCCAGGGTGAAGTATACCTACCATGAATGGCGGTGGCATATGAGAGCTGCCTGAATAAAGAGCCAATGAAGGCTGGCCATGCTGCTTTCATCCTCAATTAAATGGGAAGGCGCACACGCCTTTTTTTTTGTCCCCTCTTCTTAATTTCATGCGGCAAAGCGCCTTTACCAAATGAATGGGCTGCTAATTATCTTGGCATCGCAGCGCTAGCTGAAGCAAAGCTCCCCGTCCAACTCTGCGGCTGAACAGCGCTCACCAAAGACGGCATGCATTTCAAAAGCCGTCAGCGCTGGGGTCGTCCAGGTTAGGCTGGGTTAAAACCACCTTTCCACGCTGAAGAGGAGAATGAAAGATGTCAGCTCCTGGCATTCCTCCTCCCGCACCGCTGATACTCGCCAGGGTGGGCTGAGCGTGGTGCCAGCTGCTCGCAGTCCCCAAATGGCCGAGCAGGGCAAACCTGGCAAAAGCAGCACCGTTCCCACTGCAAAAGCTTCTTTAAAAACCTGCACTGAGCAGTGGAGAGCTTAAGGGGTGGCGGCGGTTAAATGGTTTCCATCCCTCAGCCCTGCACAAAGGGCTCCACAACCAGATCACAATTCACCCAGGCCCAGCTGAGACGTGAAAGCGTTTTGATTCCTTGTCCTTCACTACAGATGGCCCTTCCTCGCCGTTTGCTTTCCATCGGCTGCTGAGCCACCTGTCTGGAGGGCCGGCAGGGATAACCGGCACTTCCGTGAGTGTCCGTTCAGCCAAAAGAGGCGTTCGGATGAGCTGGGGATGGCAGGCAGGCTCTCTCAATAATGCAACTCCAAGGCATGGCATGCCGGTGGTGGGCTAGCTCTTCCCTCCATAGGTAGGCCAGCATGGGGCGGCGTGTAACGCCTTGAAGGATGAGCACGGCAGACAGTGGACTGAAGCATCGTGTGGCTTGCTGTCATTACTCACAGCCACCGCCGTGCTGCTGGGGCTGGGAAAGCGTTCCAGCAAAAAATAAAAATATTTTCTCATTAAAAAGAAGTTGGGGGAGAAGGCGGGGGAGAAAGTCTACAAGCAGGATAGATAGATTGTGCTGTGGAGCTGAGATGAGCACTGAGACGCTATACATTAATCATAGTGAGAGGGGGAAAAATAGTACAGCTCTATCAGGAGAAAGCATTTGTTGCTGTGAAACAATGCAGACTTCTAAGCAACCTTGCAGCCCTGTGCGCCGGGCCATGGGTGTTTCTGGTCAGTCAAGGGCCGTGCCCACTTAGTGGATGGTTTAATCCCCTAAATGACAGGCTGCAGAATCCCAAAAAGACTGGTGAACTTTAGGCTGGTTCCTATTAGCATGCTGTGCCCTGGAGCCCCCCCAAGCCCTCCCCCTTTTTGTTCAAAAGACAAATCTTTAATGTCTCATTAACTCTATCCCCCTCTGCAAGATCTACTGCATTCAAGAGATGGGGAGGCAATAAATAATGATCAAGGCAGAGGCATCACAGCTGTAATCTGGAGTGCGCAAGGAAGCCTGTAAAAGAAGCTGGCAAATTCCATCCCCCTCTGAGTGCCCTCGCTTGGCTTTATTTCCTTTCAATCTATATTGGTATTAAGAGTAACGCTGTTGCTCTCCCTAATGAGCTGCATGCAACTTGTCTCTTCCATTCCCTGGGTAAAGCTAGGCGCAGCTGAAAGCTTTCTGTTAAAGCCTCTCTTTGTAGCGCACTTAAGAGTGACTTGTGCACAATATGCTGGTTTAGGTGCCGCGTGCAGACACACTTGAATCAGTTCAAGCCATGATGCACACATGTGCATACAGGTGTCATCGGACAGCCCGAAAGTCCTCGCTGGTTCCTTCAGTGGGCTTATTGACTGGCTGGTCTCTTTTCAGTTCAAGATGCTCAAAAGCTTGGGCTCTGGATGTGTACTGCCCGAGTCCAAGAGCACTGCCTGAGCTGTATACGTCACAAGGCATCACACTGCATGCAGTGAAGTTACAGTACCATGTCTGAAGTTAGGAACTGGCCACTAGAAACAGGAAAGTGGATAGGAAGAATGATTAAAAAAAAAAAAAAAATCCCTGGAGAAAAATGCCGGGTTGGCAAAATGATGTCTAAACAAGCAAGCCAGAGGGTTGTGAAGGTGTCAAAATGAGTTTGCCATCCAGATCCTCAACAGGTAGAAGTTCCTAACATCCATGCCCTAAATAATAATATCACGGAGATGCCCTGCTTCGATTCCTGGTGACTTTAAATGAGCAGCAGGCACCTCACCTTGGAGAAAAATCCCAGCCACAGCCTTCAACATGCTCATAACCCCCCACTGAAAACAATGGGAGCTTGGCTTTAAGGCAGACACACGAAGACTACCGCCCTTCCAGCACAAACCACTGCACAGCTGAAGGGAGCATGCCATTTCAAGGGGCTAATTACTTAAGCCCTCTCCAACTGGGGGGGTCATTATTTGTTCTTGTTGTCTCAAGCCTAAGTCCAAGCTGGCCATAAATACATTTAGGCTGGAAATTATGGGAAGAGATCAAAACAGTCTTGTTTGGGACCAGCCTTCTAGAAGATGTAGCGAGGGCAAGAAACCTGCCTGCTCTTACAAACAGAGCTTGTAAAAGCCTATCTGCCTGCACTGTCCAGACCAACTGGCCCAGAAGCTGATTTCTTGTGTCACGTTCTCACGTGTTAGCAGCACAGTGCAAGTAGTTTAACAGGCGTTGTGCACTACCAACCCTGCCTGGAGCCCACATCGCCAGTGGGCTAGCCACCTTACGTTACGTGTACCACCATGCTCCAGGCGAGGGTTTTGGCGTACTAACACTTCAGTGAAGACAAGCCATCACGGGCTGGCCCTTTCTATCAAGAGGAAGGCTGCTGCCGAGATCCTCGGCACTGAGTAGACGTAGCAGCACTTTGTAACGTGCAGTTGATTAAGCAGCATGGCCACTGTTCACTTTGATGCCTCCTCTGGCCCCGTCCACAGCTTGATGCCTGCTTTCAAGAGCGCTTCCTACCACCTGACAGCTCTGCTGACACCGAGCAGCAGCTACTGTCAGAAGTCCAGCGAGAGGCACAGCATCTTCAGGCAGGCTTGTTTACTAAGAGCGTGTACGGAGGGGAGGAGGAATATCAAGGCGGAGAGCAAGGGAAGGAGGGCGGCTGCTATGTCATGTCTGTTTAGCCATTCAGATGGGCAGGAGCCACCTTGCTGTTAAGAAGAAAAAGGGGGGCAGGTTCATACTGTTACGGGCTAGTACTAATTGCTGTGCAAGCACCAACTGCCTGAGGTTGCAAGAAGGTTTTTTTTCCCTCCTCCACCTTCCTTCTTCCTCCCTGACAACTTTTAACACCACAGAAGACAAAAACAACCCAGACAGGGTAAAAGACAAGCATGCAGCAAAATGCACGCTTTTAGTTCGGCATCCCCTCTCTGCTCCCACCGTTGACTAACCACAAGGTTTTTGTCCCTGCTGGGGCAGAAGAGGAAAAGCTGGTGCAGAGAAGAGTCAGCAGGGTGGCTGGAAGGAAGGTGGACCTGGTTTGTTGGCTCAGGTTATACCTCCATTGTAATCAGATTTCCCTAGGGCCCTGCATACTCGCATGGGTGACAAGTAATGCTGAAACCCAGGCCGCTGTGTCTTCGCTGCTAGCAGTAGCCCAGCTAACTGAAATAAAGCTAACATGCAGGTGTCTGTGTGTCCTGCAATCCCCCTCCTGGTATGCTGTGGACCTCTTATCAGGAGGTAGTGAATGAATTTGTTACCTCAGGGTGCCCTATACTTTGGGCTGGATTTTCTGGGAAAGCTGAACATCTGGGCTACATACAGACAGCCAAAAAGCCCGAGTGTGAATTGATTCAGTCTTTGGAGGTTAGTTTAAGCTGCACACATTAAACTGAAACACAAGTGAACAGACATTTACCTTTGATTCAGGAAACACGCACATGCCTGCAGTGGCTCAGGCCAGAAGCTGAGGAGAGCTGAAGCACAGCTCTCTGGCTGTGCATTCACTTCCTCTTCCTGCTGCCCCCCAGGTCTCTGGGATTTGCAGTCCAGAATTACAATTGCAGGACTCTGCAGGGTTGCTCATCACTTCCTCTTCCTGTTTCCAGGTGCCTCTGGGATTTGTAGTCCACAGTTGCAGCCTGCAATAAGTTTAAGCGGGGGGACCCGCACTCCAGCCAGGGTTTGTTGGGGGGGGGGGCAGTCCCCCCCTTCCCCATAGGCTGGGCTTGCCTCCCTCCTTCTCCCACCCCTTTGTCAGCCAGCCCTCACTGCTTCAGCTAGGGACTGGGGGGCAGGGCCAGCCCTGCTGTCTGGAGCAGACAGCACAGCCCAGCCTAGGGCTGGAAAGCATGCTGGGCTGCTGGGGGACTCTGATTTAACTTGAACCAGGAAGGGGTCTGGTTTCATAAACCAGTTTGACCCAGATCAGTTAAGTCTAATACTACATTCAACCAGGTTTATCTTAAACCAGTTTCAGCCATTTTGAAACTGGTTTATGTGCACTGAACTTCTGTTCTGTTACAGGTTTAAACCAGTTTCTGATCACTTAAACCAGTTTATGTATAACTGCTGTCCCTAGCCCTGATGAAATTGCGAGGTACCAGGTGCTGCAAGGTTAGAGCAGCAACAGGCAGTGACTGTGATCTCTCTCTGGCTATATGGGTCACATTCCTTTGTTCACAAGCACTAGCTATTGATCTCTGTGCCAATCTAATGGCTTTCTAGCATGGTTATCACTGTGACACCTCCCCCTCTGCTTTGCACGAGGGGGAGGTGAGCTTTGCACATTTGATGCAATGATGAGCTTTGCACGTTTCAGATCCTGCCCTCCTCCGTCCTGTGTCACACTCAAGTTTTTCATCCATTTTTCCTAACCACTTGGACGCGGTAGCGTGAAACTCACCCCAGCAGAGCGCACCAATACCTTGCTCCATGTCTGGTGGGTTTAAGATAAAGGGAAATATGGGGATGGATAAAAGGCCTTGAAGGACTAATTTGTCTGGTGGTAGCATATGGTACATAAAAAGCTTTATTGGAAGTGTGTTACTATAAGGATCAGGAATTTGTGGTGAGGGGGGTTGAAAGACCCCGCTGCTCGACTGCTCTCCAGAATGATTCCTTTAAGAGCACGTGGGTCACTCAATGCTTGGGGATGCTCCTTACATTTAGCTTTGCACTGAGGGTCTGAGACCTATGTATCAGCTAGGTTTCCCTTAGTCTCCTGCTAAGCAGCATTGCATTATCTACTGCAATTCAGTGTCTGTTGCTTTAAACCAAAGCTGTAGTTCTGCATCTGTTGCCAATGACAAAATTCCCAGCAACTTCAGCAGAAGCAAACCTGTGCCCATACAACACACACATACGACAGCTGGGGTGGCTCTGGAAGTACGAACAGGAGCTCCAAAGCGACCAGGTAAGTCTTTTAATCTGCTCATCAAAGCTCTTGCAATTCCTTCTTTGCTTCCCACTGCCCAGACCACTGCGATGAGACATGTGGGCACCCAGGCATAGCCCAGAGGCCTCTGCAGGACCCCCTTCCATTTAAACTTTTTCTTACACTGATGGACGTTACCTTGCTCCAGAGCTTTTTCAATTGCACGGATACCCACCGAACGCCTTAATGAATTAGCGGCGGTGACTACAAGAGTTTTTCCGTCACTCAGCAGGGAATGAACCCTCCCAAGTGCCCTCTTCGTGCCACTAACACACCAGACAACATGAATAGCTAGAGGCATGTTCTCTCACAGAATACAGCTACGGTTAGTTAATACTCCTTGGAGTATCCTGCACCGACTGTGATGCTGAGCAAAACACACTGAAAGGGACTGTGGACCTCCAAACAGCGACTTTGCCAGGCTCATCTGTGTCTGGTGTGAACTTGTGGACACTGCAAGCAACATCGCCTGAGTTGGCAAAGACGCTCAATGAGAAGCCCAGGCAGTGCACAGGCAGGACTGAAGATTACAGCCTGAGACATCTTGTTAGAACAGCAAGCAAGAATCTGCCCGGACTACAACACACCATGCCCAATTTACCCGGTCACTTCAAGAGGCAGCAAAGGCCCAACACTAAAACGAGGAGGAAATTCCTGACAGGGACTTTGCAAGAAATTGTTGACGTCGCTTCGACTACTGGCTCAGTGCCACGGCCGAAGCACTCGGAGACATGCCCGCAGTCAGGGTATTGATTGCATGCACTTATCTTCTTGCTTCCAAAGAACCTTTGAACTCCGGGAACTTCTGCATTTGTTACCAAATGAACCAGGGTACATGTAAAGGGGAAAAAACAACCAAGGGAGACCATTTAAAAGGGGGACTTTATTTATTACACCGGAACAAGGCGCCAATACGCCAGTTCAGCTTTGATACACAATAAATCAGCAAAGCTGTTACTCAGTTTTGAACCAAGATTGCGGTGGCACTAAAAACACATTGAAAACATTTATTCTCTTCCCCTTTTTTTTTCCCCTCTTTTGTTTTTGGTACAAAAATGGTACAAACAACAATACAAAATATTTGTGCTGTTGACGGTTACAAAAAAAGGGTTTTTTTGTTTTTGTTTTTCCCCGTTTTTTAAATTTAACTGACGCAGTTGGTTTTGCGTTTCAGCGTGAACACATCAGAACACCAGAAGTCTTCCTTGAAAACAACCACAGTCATGCGGGCTGCTACACAGTTTGTCCACTGTAAAAGGAAACATGCAAAATAATAATAATAATAATAATAATCATAAAACAGCGCTCCAGTTATACATATAGATGTGTGGGTGCTTTTTTCTCTCCCCCCTTACTTGATTTGTAGCTTCAAGCAGTAACTACGTTATGTACACATTGTGGTGAGGAATTCTAGGTGGTTTTGTGTGTACTTGAGATAACTCTTTGTTCTCCCTGTAAAACGGAGATGACTTTGGGAGAAAGCTACATACATTGTCTAGGCCTTAACCATTTGGCAGCGCTCCCACCCTCCTCCCACAATGTTGAAATTTGCACTGAAGCGGTTCCAGAAGACGTTACAAAGAAAGCTCCCACCGTTTCCGGGCAAGTGACCTTCGTTATATTCTTGAGACCAATCCTGGTATCCTGTGTTACACAGGCCCTGCATGGACCACAGCAATCCTGAACAGGTGACATTTACCCCTGTGCGAGCAGCTAGAGCAAGACCCACAGATCACATCGTTCTTACCTAACCCCTAGGGCAAAGGTCAGGTTCGAGCACAACCGAAATCCCACGTAAGGAGGATTTGAGTGGTGCGGTGGCTCTGTACTGGTCATTGGCATGAGCAGGGATTTCATTTGCAGCCCTAAAACAGATCTCCTGGACCAAAAAAAAAAAAAGAAAGAAAATAAACCCAGAAAAAAAAGAAAGAAACAGACCTATGAGAGGAGGGCGTAAGGACAGCAAGTAGCACAGTGTTGCCCATTTACTGTTAACAGTCTTCTGCTGAGGGCTCCTCTTTGTTGTATGTTGTTTTGTTGCCTGTGTCACTTTTCCATGCTGCATAATAAATCTGTCCTGTTTCCCGATGCTACGTCCCTGGCCTGGTGGGTTCGGGCCTCAAGGCCGTCCCGACAGAATGACCTCTGATGTGTATGATCCCTTTCTCAGAGCCTACCTGCAGCCTTGGTCTTTCAGAGAAGGGAGGCTGCCTTCAGCTCTACATTCAAACTTGCTCCTTACTGGTCAGAGAGCTCCCCATCTCCCGGCCCTAGGTAAAGGTGAGAGGCGCAGTAGCGTCGATTAACATAGTAATAGGTAGAGATGGGGAAATGGGAAGTACGGCACAATGGTACAGGGAAGGGTAATCCCATTCTTCCTAAAGCCAGCGCACTTCCAGTCGTCTTCCCATGGGAAGTGGAAGATCTCATGCCTGCACTCCACTTCTTTTACCAGTGAGCTCGTTATGTGTCTACTACTGCCAGCCCCCCCCCAAACCCCTAAGACCCCAAATCAAACAAATGACCCCCCCCTCCCCCCAGTCCCTTCCTTAACTATCTTTATTGAGGGTTTGAAGCCAACACTTCTTTAGAACAGCAGTTCCCAACCTCGGGTCGTGACCCAAACGAGGGTCCCGGGCGCAATGCCGGTGGTGCCGCACACAAAAGACGAGCCACACCGCGTGCCAGCAGCTCCTTCGACCTTGCCCCCGAGCTGCCATCGCCACCACCGCGCTCTGCTCCCGGCAGCGGGTCATGGCAAAAAAAGGTTGGGAACCACTGCTTTAGAAGGACACCATCATCTTAAAAATAAAGCAATGTCCTTTAGGTTGCAAAGCACAAGTGGCATTCATAGAAGCGAACAAATTTGCAAGCAAGCTAATTTATTTTCACCAGTAACGCGGCTTGCTTACCTTCTCCTTCCTCTTGAACAGCGTGCCAAATCCTATCCATGTTTCTACCCACATGACCCAGAGACTGCATGGAGTGTGCGTGCAGGGGGTGTGGAGGAGAAAGGGGGAGCTGAATTTGATCAGAAGATAGCAGCCTAGCTGCTTTCCTTCTTGAATGCTCACGCACGCCCACAGGGCTGCGCTTTCTTGGTTGCAAATGCTGCTGCAGAACATCTGAAAAATCTGCAGTAGAAACAGGCCACTTTATTTTAGTTTAAATCAATGCCATGTTTTTGCCAGTCTCAGGCTTGGAAATCTAAACATTGAGACAAGCTTCACCCTGGCCGCATCTCATTCTTCATCCACGAAAAAAACATTTTGTTCATCTCTTCTGTACGTCCAGCCCTGGTGACATCAAATGAACTGGTACAGCATTTTTCTAGAAGAGCTTCTTGTTTCATAGTTTCTGTGTTGTGATCAGGGCATGGCGTTTTCACCTGTCCTGTTTGATTTTGCAAAACCATCGCCCCAGCTAAGGGCACAGAAAGGCAATGAACACTGCACTTCCTGGAGCCGATGTTTGGACAACTCTCATTGACCATCTGGTGCCAACTGGTTTGCCTAGCATGACTGAGAAGCAGAGACCCTCTGCGTGGCTATTCACCTAATCCAAATACAGCTTCCCAGGGCCTGGTTATCTGCATAGAGGCAAAGAAATGCACTAGACAGAGAGGACCAGGCACCGTTTGCATCTCGCGGCTCTTGCATTGGATAACGCCTTTCTCCCGTTTTGTTTCTTCCTCCTGTGACGCCGAGGAGGCTACAGTAATGGACACAAAACACTGGCATGTACTAAGCAATGAGAAACACTACGTCCATTTTTATTATTGACTACTTTTGTTGTGGAGGGCAGTTTCCATGGAGGTGCATCACCCTGTTTATAATATATTTAAGCCTGAGGCTTTTCAGAAATGAAAGAAAAAGATCAGGCTAGTACACAGATAAGGAACACAGGCTACACACAGACCCAACCCACCTGCACAAGGAGACTGCAATTCAAAAAAGGATCGGCTGTATGGGTGCAGTTACGTCCCCACGTACAAGAGCAGACACAGACTACGTGAAGCGTCGGAGGCTGTACTAGGGTGTTGGGGTGGAGGGAGGTCTGCAGTGGAAGTGAACTAAGGTTTTCATACTGTGCAAGTGCCAACACGATGAAGGTTGAGTTCCCAACTTTGGAGTAAATATTTTTGAAAGGCATCAGATACTGCAATTTGTCATGCACTGCATTTCATCCGGGATGGAGCTTCTGCTGACAGCCAGTACCCTTTGAACAGCAGCCACGTGTTGCTGCTGCCATCACTGTTTCCTGAGGTCTTAGCCATCACTGATTCCTTTCCTCAAGGTAACGTGTATATACATTTTCATTTGTTTTGTTTTGTTTTTTCCTGAATAGCGAAAGGATCAACCAACCGAACCAACCGACCAAGAAAAAAACCCCCACATACTTATTAATTAAGAATATAACACATATAGACTGAGTCCCCTCAAGCAGACTTTACCACATTCCATTTCATACAAGACACATTTCAAATGCTCGTTAATTTACACAAATTGCATTTTATAGAAAATATGATACAGTGAAATATAAAATGCACTAGGAGCATTTTAAAAATCTATAGACATGGTCCTGCAGCCTCAAGTTCCCTCTTGAGCAATGGCCATTCATTGTCACACACATGCGCTCGCTCACACTCTCTCCCCTGTCCTCTCTCCCCCACTTTTTTAACTCTTAGCATTCAACTTGAGAATCAACCTACATATCAAAAAAGCATGATTATCCCCCGGATAATCACCTTCTGATGTTGTGCACATTCTTGGACTTAAAGGAAAATATATCTAAGCACTTTTACAATTTTTTTTTTTAGCGAACCCACTGCAAAATTGTCTGCAGAATATAAAACATAGGTAATCCAAGATTTCATAGCACATGAATTAAGTGGCTCGTAATCCATTAAATGTGGTTTATATTACACATCCATGCAGTCTAAATCGTTTTACAAACATTAGACATAAACCCACTAGTCCAAATCAATAAAGGAAAAATGTAATTAAAAGAAATGCTAATAACTATTCGTTATTGGTTAAATTGACCCTACATATAAACTAGGTAGTATGCTACCATTTATAATACTGATGTTGACTTATGCCTGGATGCTGCAAAACCTCTTACTTTATTGGCGCTGTTTAAGCATAGTAACCACAAAATACTTATTAGGCCCTTCTTACTTTTCTTTTCCAAAAGATGTTTAATATAGACAGAAGTGCCTATCCATCAAATATAAAGGACACACGTCTGGTGGGTTCCATGATGCTGTTGAGCTTTGGCTACTGATGCTGCAAGGCATTAGTACTGGACTAGACTAACTTTATTCTAACGTATGGCAAAGGTACTAATAAAACTGTCCATGTTATTAATACTGCCCTAGTCTTGAAGTAAGCAGTTATGCCAGGGGCGGGCAATTATTTTGGGCAGAGGGCCACTTACTGAGTTTTGGCAAGCCATTGAGGGCCGCAGGATAGGCAGCCAGGAGCAGATAAATATTAATTTTCTAAATTTTTTAGGGGCCTCACCAGCCAGACAGAATGGCCTTTGGGGCTGCATCTGGCCCCCGGGCCACATTTTGCCCACCCCTGAGTTATGTTATGTCCTTACGTTGAGTTAAGAAAACAGCATTGGTCTTCATACTAACAAGCACCATTCGGGATGCATGACAGCACCATGTAACCCAGCCATTATTTACATTACTCAATAAGGTGTGGGAGCCAAAAACACGCCAAGAGCAAAAAACAAACAAATGGGCCTTTGGTCATTTCACGATTAACTGTAGGGTTTATGCAAGGTCTGTTTGAGATCTCTGTTGCAATAACCAAAGGCTTATCAATGCTATAGTTCTATGCAGCTACATCAAGTGTGACCAGGTTACAGAAGGAACCCCAGTCAATATTTTGCATCTGATAACACTGAATTATATACAACATGATGACTAATTCACCACCTGCTGAGGCTTAAAGATGGCTGTTAAGATTTTTGACTCAAAACTTCTTGTTTTCCCCCTCCCTCAAAATGAGTCACCCACTTTAAAAAAAAAAAAGGCCAAAAAGAAACAATCTCCACAGTTCTGTTTTGTTAACTCCTTCCCAGCTAAAACTGGCTTAGGGTCATAGAGAGTGTTGCCCAAGATGGTTGAAACATTTCTTTTTTTGTATGCTTGTTCTGATCACTCCTGAGATTGAAGGGAATCTGATACACGTACCAAAAGGCACTTTCAAATATATATATATATATATTTTAAAAACAGTGCTTCTGTTCTAAGAAATTCAAGTTAAGACAGAGTGCCTTTCACTCTCTTTAGTCATAAAGCGGATAAACGAGCGATATCCCAGCTGACGTTTAACAAAAAAAAATGCAGCAGAGACCAGTGTTCATGCTAGACAGCAAAATGTCAAAAAAACCCCAAAAAATTAAAAAAAAAAAGAAAGAAAAAAGAAACCTCCTAAATCACCACTAAAAATAATACAGTCAGCAGGGGATATTAATTAAAAAAGCTGCCACTTCTGTACACTTCTTGCTTCTTTGTCGTCTCTATTTTTACCATCGTCATCTTTTTTAAAAATTTTTTTTCTTCTTCTTTTTTTTAACAACAATATGAGGTCAGTTTAATCTTCCTCTCCTCCCCCGTACATGTCTGCCAGTTTCTTGAACCTGGGCCCCCAGTCGTTAAGGTAGTCATAATCCTGATCACCAGAACTGGAGGAGTTGAGGGAGCTGACGGAGCCCGCGGTAGAACCACTGCCCTCATAGTCAAAGACCAGTAGAGAATCGTAGGGTGGGGCAGTGGGGTCGTTATCAGCTGCTCTCAGGCCCTGGTGGTTGCAAAGACAGGGCGTTAGTGCCTCGTTACACATTCACTTGCAAAAGCTGCACATCACTAGAAGATGCTGACCTATTAATTAATGTTCGTACGTTAGGCAGTATCATAACTAGGGCAGGGTGAGCAGGGCACCACTCAGCCTCCTGGCTTTGCGAATCTTTGCTACGTCACGTATAGCCCTGTGTTGTCCTGCCCAGCTATAGGAGCCCAGCCGTGAGGCTGCTGCTGCTGCTGCTGCCTGAGCCACCACTACTATAGCCCATGGCAGCAGCAGCAGCAGCCGCCACCTTCAGTCTGTGGAGAACAGCAGCAGGTAAGATTTCACTCCTTCTCCTGCCTTTCCCCCTGCTCTCCAGTGTTTGGCATACCCTGCTTCAGGGCAGCCTGCCTGGTGGGTGTGCTCCAAAGCCATGGGGTGCCTGTACACACCATAGGTTTTAATCCTCATTAAATGTAATAGGTTTATAATATTTAAACTTGTTTATTTTGGAGCGTTGCATCTGTGTTTACATGCACTAGGTTTTCAAACGAATTAAAATGGGTCCCTGGCCAGCACCGCAGGGGTGTGGGACGGTCCAGCACTGCCCACCCCCAGCCCAGGGCCCCCCCATCCACCCCGTGCCCAGGCCCATGCCCATGCCCTGCCACGCAGCTGTGGAAGCAGGGAGCCGGCAAACCACACAAGGAAAAAAAAAAGTGAAAGCAATTCAGAGGGGTGAACTACAAAAATGTCACTGCGCCTTTGGTGGACAAAAAGGCTCATTACACATCTTTTAGTGCTTTTGTGTTTGCACGCAATGAATCCATGGACACAACGCTTTAATTCCCAGTGAGCCAAACTAAATTACAGCCAAAGAGTTTTAGTTTAATTCACAAGGAAGACTGTTAAAAAGTGTCGGGAAATCCTGCCTGTGCAAACAAATACGCAGTTGCAGTGCATTAAGGGGCAAAAATTGTGGTGTGTACATGAGCCTGTGGACTCTGGATGCGCAGACAGGCCAACCCTGAGGATATCCACCTGTCCTGAAGCCACTGACCCTGGATGCACAGGTGCTCCACTAGGAATCTTGCCCTAGATTTGGTGAAATTTGCTTGACCCCGACATGTTCAGAAGAACTATACAGGGCTCACGTGACTCATCAAGTGGTCAACACCTGGCCATTGTGTCACCAAGCAATAATATTTAATTCCTAGAAAAGCTTCATAGCCAAAAGTTTAATGAGTAGAGAAAACTTAGCTGGGTGGAACTCCAGGTAAATGGCTGTAGGATGCTGCTCTGTAAAACCAGGGGTAAGATACGTGAACGATAACATGACTTTACATTTCCCCTTTCAAACAACCCTGAGATCTACCAGAATGCTGAGCTACTTGATGTGTGGGGATCTTTCTCCAGGGAGGTGTCCTGCACCCATGAAGTGTGCTAGGCTGTTGAGAGGAACTCCTAGCAGTAGCAGCAATGAAAAGAAACATGGGTGATTTGTTTCCATTTATTTCAGGGCATCTGCTCTGAAGCCGAGAAATCTCTTCTCCTAGTTGACCGTGTCCCATTTGATTTCACATTTGGGATTTCACCTTGTATTTCCAATATGTTCAATGTAAAAATGAAAATCTCCAGCAACACAGTTGCAACACTTACAAAGGAAGTTCAGTGTCAATGTACAGGACTAGCATATTAACCATGTCTTACTTCACTTAGAAATAGGTACCTGTACCTACTTCCAAGATACCAATAGGTATCTTGGAAATGGTCTGGTTTGTCCTGCCAGGCCCTATGCATGGTTGTAGGTAGGACAAGCTGGACCTGTTGTTAGGGTTACAGAGCATCTTTTAGTTGCAGTTCAGCATAAGGGGCAATACTGAAAGCAATGTACCTGAACCAAAGAAAAAACTCTCTATTTATCATTTTGAGAACCTGAAGTCAAGGTATGGGAAGCTGTAATAAGTTATACTGGCCTGAATCACAGTGGAAATGTGTGTGTGTGCAAGCACAGAGGGGAGATGCTGGGGGAAGAGAAGGGGAAAAGGAATTTAAATGACTAGAATAAGAAAAAAACCCAGCAGGAAATTGAGATAATAATAGAATGAAACTGCTGCCACATTTATATTTCTGACTTATGAAATGGATCCTGCTTTGTCTTAGAGGAAATGATGCATCGATTAGCTTGCAAACACACAATTATTCATTTAAAAGATAAAATGAGATTTTTTTTTTAAAGGATAAGTGGCTAAAAAATTAAACAAGAGCCAAGGGTGCTGTCGAGTCACAGGGATGTCACGTGGGGTGAGAAAAACGGCTCGGTGGTGAGAAGCGTCCCCGTGACACACACTCTCTGGAGCTTTGGCTCCGAGCACAGGTTGCAGGACAGGAAGACACAGCGCAGGAAGATGTTTATGGGCTTAGAAGCCAAGAGATCCTGGTTGCCTTTCTGGCCTGGCCTGCCCATCTGTAACAAACCTGCCCTCATTCCCAGCTTCATTGAAAGCAACTGCAAAACTCCTATAGGCTG